GCTGGGTATGGTGTTTTGTGCCTGTAGTCCTAGCTACTTGGGAGGCTGAGGCAGGAGGATTTCTTGAACCAGGGAGGCAGGGTTTGCAGTGAGCTGAGATCGTGCCACTGCACTTTCAGCCTGGGCGACAGAGTGAGACTCTATCTTAAATAAAATAAAATAAAGAAAAAAAAATGAGTACTATTTTAAGAGTCATGCTCTTTGAAGGGATTATCAGCTCCTGGGCTGTATTCCTCTTGCAGTCGCCTTGATGCCTTTGCGCCTTGCAGCTCCGTCCATGCTCAGCCAGACTTGTAGCCCCACAGAGTGTCCGGGGTGGGTGGCGGGCTGGGCGTTAGCCCGAGATGGCACGCAGCTCCCAGGGAGATGTGCTATGACTAAATCCTTGCCCTGCAGGGATCACAAAACTTGGCAGTTGCCATTTTAGGTAAGAAAAGCTATGCTTAGAAAAGAGAGAGGGGGTTTGACCAGGGACTTGGAGCCTGATCATGAGTGGAATTGAGGCTTCCCAGCCACCAGGCTCAAAATCCATCTAGTGGGCCCAGAAGGGTTCTCAGCAGAAGGTTGTGTCCCATAAAAAAGGAGAAGCTGCTAAACATGCTAAGTGCATTAGTCTGTTTTCATGCTGTGGATAAAGACATACCTGAAACTGGGTAATTTATAAAGAAAAAGAGGTTTAACGGACTCTCAGTTCCATGTGGCTGGGGAGGCCTCACAGCCATGGTGGAAGGTGAAAGGCACGTCTTACGTGGTGGCAGGCAAGACAGAATGAGAGCCAAGTCAAAGGAGAAATACCTTATGAAGTCATTGGATCTCATGAGACTTATTCACTACCAGGAGAACAGTATGGGGGGAACTGCCCCCATGATTCAATTATCTCCCACAACTCATGGGAATTATGGCAGCTACAATTTGAGATGAGCTTTGGGTGGGGACACAGCCAAACCATATCACTAAGGCTTTGGACATCAAATGTGGACAGTTCAGGGTTGGTTCATGGCTGTGGCAGGGAGCAGTTATTTACCCAGGGCAGGAAGTTTCCTTGACTGAGGACTTTATCTTCACTACATTCTGGTGAGGGAGAAACCATTCTTTGAGAATTTACTCTGTATTAGGTTGGCTCAAAAGTAATCGTGGTTTTTGCCATTACTTTTAATGGCAAACTCTAAAAGTTTTAAAAACTTTACAATGTTACTAATACCAGGCACTGTGTTAGAAGTTTTGAACACATACCTTATTAGATTCTGACATTCCACCCATACGGGAGGTTGTACCATTCTCCCTGTTTCGTGGATGATAAAAGTGAAGCTCAGAGCACTGACGTCACTTGCCTAAGTCCCCATGACAAGTGATGGAGCTTGAATTGGAAATCAGAAGGTCTGCCTCAAAAGGTAGCACTCCCATGCTCATAACCTCCATGGTAGACTGACTACCTCTAGGAAAACTTGAGGTCTTCAAATAAGATGATTTATTTCTCAAACCAGGGGCTCAGGGAGGAGGGCAGGCTTCGGCAGCCTTGACTCCCCCTAACCCTCAGCAGCATATGAGAACATTCTCTTTGCAGAACAACTGTCTTCCAACTACTCTCAAGAAAAACAGGGGCAAGCTACATACATATTATGATATTTGACTGGGACATTGTGGTTTTAGTTACCAAAATATGAAACAACCTTTCCAGCTGACTGCTTTCTCATCTTCTTCCATAATCCCTCTTTTGCGAGCAGTCTGGGGATTCAATTTAAAATAAATTAAGGAGGCAATTGAGGAAGGACGTCAGCCCGAGCTTTTAAAAACTCAGTTAATGAACGTCAAATGCCATTCTAGTCTGCAAGAAGGCAACCTTTTGACTTGTAAACTTTATACATCCTCTGTGCTGTCATCCGTCCCCAAGGCTGGCTGTGTACGTCTGTGGGGAAGGTCAGCCCGGGGCCCAGAGCCGGCCTGTGCAACTTCAGCAGCCAACCGCCTCCCCGACTCGTCCCAACGGTGCCCTCTGATGAACTTCAACCTGGAAGCTCCGTCTCACTGCCAGACTTCTCTGACCAGTGGAAAAGCCAGGCCTTATCTTTTTCAACTTTTTCAAAGGATTTCTTAAAAATGGTAGCAAAATATACATAACATAAAATTTACCATGTTAACCATTTTAAGTGTACACTTTAGTGTTAAGTACAATTACATTGTTGTGCAACCAATCTCTAGAACTATTTATCTTGCACAACAATTTTTTTTGCATTGTAGGTTAGACCATAAAACTTATTGTAGCCTTTTTTTTTTTTTTTTAGACAGGGTCTAACTCTGTCACCCAGCTGGAGTGCAATGGCCCAATCGTGGCTCACTACAGTCTTGAAGCTTCTGGGTTCAAGTGATCCTCCTGCCTCAGCCTTCCGAGTAGCTGGGACTACATGTGCGGGCCACCATGCCTAGCTAATTTTATGTAGAGATGGGTCTTGCCATGTTGCCTGGGCTGGTCTTGAACTCCTGTTCTCAACTCTCCTACCTCAGCCTTCCAAAGTGCTGGGATTACAGTCATGAGCCATTGTGCCTGACCGTATCTTAACTATTTCTAAGTGTACAATTCAGTAGCATTAAGGACATTCACATTATACAAACATTACCACCATGTATAGTCCAAGGTTTATCTCTGACTCTAATTCCTCTTATCATCTGTTCAGCTTCTGCCTTTACAGACTGGCTTCCACTTCTCCAGATGGTTCTTTGCTCTCTTAAATGAGTGCTTGTTTGTGAATCCAGTCTACAGCGTAACCTGCCCATGCAGCACAGGCTCCCAAGTCACCTGCACTCGGACGGGCTGCTGCAGACCGGGGTGGGAGCTCCCATCTGTGCCAGTTCCCAAAAACTCCTAGCCCAGGCCCTGGGACCCACCCTCCCATCTGTGTCAGAAGATGCTTTGGAACCACATGCATGAGTTAGAATTGGCCCAGCACCTCCCTCGGCAGTTGACCCAACCCCCAGAAACCTATTCTCTCCTCCACAAAATGAGGCCACGGTTGTTAGGGTGGCTGTGAGAATTTAAGAAGAGGCTTATAAGGTCCCAGCACCTGGAAGGCCATCTTGGACATTAGCTGTCACATTCTATTCTAGACGACAACCTCCCCGTCCTTCCTCACTCCCTTCCTTCCCAGCCCTTCTTTCTGCAACATGCTCTTCTCCTTCCTGGACCCCTTCCCGCACTGCAGGAACCCAGGATGTTTATGTTATCCCCGGATGTGGTACACTGTAGGAATCTGGCTGTTTTTGGAACCTAACGAGCATCAATTTCTCACCTCTTCCCTTTGGTTGAGTCTGGCAGAAAATGCCCACTTAGATGTTGCATCTGATAGTATGGGATGTGCAGAAAGAGCTGCTTCCCCAAATGCCAATTTATAGCCTAGAAGAGGAGCCCGGGGCCTTCCAGACTCAGGAAAACATACTCTTGTTCTGACGCTTGCCAAATGTTCAGTATATAAACTTATGACATCCTTTCCTTCCCTCTCCCTTTGTGAGTGAGATAGAAGGCAATCCTTTGATGAACTGGAGTACATCACTTATTTTTAAAAGTCATTTGGGGGAAGACGACCATCTGGATGCTTAGAAAGCCTCACAACACAGGAAAGAAACTGGGTAGACAAAACCAGTTGGGCTTCCAGAGACTCCCCATGGACCCACCATCTGTAAGTTTAATCTTCCAGAAGGGAAAGGAATCTCTGGGTGCTGTTTGCCTGCTTGGGGAACACAGGTCAGCACACTTGGAGCATGTCATGTCTACGCTCAGAAACTTTCAAAGGCAACTGGAGGTCGCCATGAGATAGACGGTCATTATGTTTTCACAAATACCTGATTTACAGCCACCCTGAAATACTTGTTATTGCCTAAACATACCCCAAACATTACTTCTGAGTCTTTACTCCTGCTGCTTCCTCCTGGCATGCCCTCCTCACCAGTTTACGTAGCACCCTTGCATGGCCAATCTGATGCTACCTTCAAAAGCCACTCCTGGATCCCCTGACGGCCTGGAACCCCCCACCTCTGGCCTCCTGTGGCTCTTGGAACCTCCCTTTTTGCATTAATCCTGCAGCAGTTAGAATGGAAGCAATGATGTGATATTTTGTGATATGATACCTTGATGGGTCTTCCTTTGGCATATGTGTCACGGTCATTTATATCCTTTTTTTGTCCTCCATGCACCAGAATGAGCTCTGTGAAGGCAGCATCTGTGTTCGACTCTGGTCTGTGTCCCTCCCTACCCTGTCTCCATACCTGGAACTGGGCAGGTACTCAGTAAATTTTAATCACCTACACTTCGCAAGTCAATAATGCTATTCTGAGCATAAAGGTTTCAGACAACGTCCTCTGTCATGTGTATCTTTGCAAATATCGATAAGGACATCTGAACTTGGCACTCCAACCCTGCGCCTCCACCCACTCGGGAAATGGCCACACTTTGCAATGAAGCCAGGAGTGAATGGAATTTCCCCTTTGGTGGATGAATGAAACACTAAGGTTGGTGTGAATTTGTGAGCCCAGTTTTGTACCTTAAAGGAGACTGGCTTCAAATGCTATAGAATTGCCATGGTCTCAGTTTCTGCTTTAAGTACCTAGTATCATTAAAATAGTTTATGCAACCTTCTAAAGGAAGCTGAGTTTGGGGGGACCCTTCCCAATCTCCCTGAAATCTGTAAAGACTAAGAGCTGGACGTTCTATAGTTGTAACTCTGTCTCTAAACCACTGAAACTTCTTGAGCTGCGTATGTCGAGGCCCTCTACGTAAGGCCCTTTGCTCTACAGTGTGCTTGAAGACATGGAGAGCATGGCACTGGTAGGTTGTAACCGCTTTTGAGCAGAAATGGCTCATTATGTTTTAGGAAATTGTGTGCTTGTGGGTTGAAGGAGAAATCCTAGAATGCTTTCTGAAGCAAATATGCGTTGCCAAAACAATTTAGAACTGTGTTGCCATGGAAGCCAATATGTCACGTTTCACTCAGTCTAAGAATATCTAAACTCTAATGATTCTGAGAATAGATGAAGTGGAACAGCCAGGTGCGATCTCTACATGAGGCCCAGGGTTAACATCCATTTTCTAGTTCCTAATCCACTGTCTATGAATCTCTCAAAATCCACGACTTCTTCCTCTGAATGTCATTTGGGGAACATGGGCTCTCCAACTAGAGCATCTGTGAGGCAACTCCTCCTCTTCTCCCATCCAGGTAGTCACCAGGCCTGACCCTGCTTAGCTTCCAAGATCTGACGAGATCAGGCGCATTCAGGGTGACACGGCCGTAAGTGACTCCTTTTCTTTTGTCGTGTTCTGTGTGTACATAAATGCTTGTGAGACTCTCCAAATACGTGGTCAACTTGGGCCTCGTGAGTTTGAGAGACAGTGAAAAAAAGAATGGAAGAAAATAAAGTGAGAGCAGTTAGAGATTTTCTATGAAGACTTACAGCTGTGTGAAGTGAAATTGATGTGGCAGTGGTGAGAACCCATGGGGAACAGGTGGAGACAGTGGATTTAACCTCAAGTTCCAGAAGCTCTGTGTGTTGAAGGAGAGGGGGCCACCAATACCCTACAGAGTAAAGGCACATTTCAGAGGCAGAGGTGTTCTGAATGAAGCACATGGTCAATTCCAGAAGAGCCCAACTGGGGACCAAAACCTGTGGGTCAGACTGGTGGGCCTCCCTCAGGAAGTAGGCACGTGGGGAGTGGGGTCTGGAGAGAGGAATATGAAGGAGGGGTGCTGAGAAATCCAGCCAGTGGGAGAGCTGTTAAGGTCCCCAAACTGGGCTTTACTCTTGACCTCTTTGGCTTATATTCAATAGGTAACCAAACTTAGTCAAAAAAAAAAAAAAAAATCAGGATCTCCTTTTCCCTCTTTAAAGTCCTTTGTGGGCCATTAATTTCAAAACTGACATCTCTTGAGTTGCATATTTCGAGGCCCTCTAAGTAACTTCTCGCCCAGCGAAGGCAAACCCTCCGCAACTCCCAGCAAGTGGCCAGGCTGCTTGAATGCCCTGTGGCGAGATACTCTGACCCTGCCTAGCATCCAAGTCACTTTTAAAACATGCACAACTGTCTATCCCAAAGGTAAACCTTCTGTGTATCTTAAAATATAACATACATGGTTTTAACTCCTGTCTCTGGAGTCACAGAATAAATCCATCTCTTTTCCAAGGTGGCATGCCAAAGCTGTGCACACAGCCATTGTGTCTTCTCTAAGTCCTCTGTCCCCATGTAGTCATCCCTGGATCATTTCTCACATTACATTTTTCCCAAAACATCTAACTCCACATCTTACGAAATTCTCCAGTTCATCCTATTGTGATACCCAGGGCTGAACCCTGTGCTTAAGGGATGATCTGACCAGGATTGTTATAGCTCAAACTTTATGTATGAGGCAGAAAAGAACAGGCAGAGCAAAAACTGGGGTTTGCCACAAGCCCTGGGAGGCTTTATTGGGCCACAAAGGCAGAATTTGTAGGGGCAGTTGGGTACTTGAGATGCTATGCCCAAGAGGAGAGGCTGGGTAGGAGCAGAGGGACTGCTGGCTGTCTGCTGACCCAGCTGGCAGGAGTGCAGGACAGTGCTCAGTCCTGGGTCGGGACTAGAATACTGGAAAGAGTGAAAACAAGTGGATAGTCAGGAGCAGAAACCAAAGGATCCATGGAGGATGCTGGAGGACACAAGTAGAGTGTGAAGACAGCTGGGATTTGGTCATAAAAAGCTGCTCTCTACTCCATGGACTGAGTTGTATGTCTGCTTGTGATCATCAACTCAGCTTAAGAAACTGACATAACCCAATTATATATATCTCATACAGGCCAAGAACTGTGGTTGAGCTAAACTTAAGAATGGCAGGCAATAGGGGCCTTAGCTATGAGGGCCAGAGACAAACAGGGCTGGCATGGTGCCCACGCTAGGGTGCCTTATTTATGATGTATTAGATTTGTGCCCCAGGGAGCACAAAGAATGGCATTTCCTAGATTTCTATATCTGTCCATATGGAGAGGGCCTGCTTTCCTTGCTGTGTATCCTGTTGTTCTACTGGGCAGGAAAAAAGGTCAAATAAGAGATGGGACAAATACAAAATATTAAGATGGTAGACTAAACAACTAAATATAAATGGACTAAACACTAGTAAGTGTACAGAGATCAAAGCAAGACTCAACTGTTTACATATACAGGCACAAATAGGTTGAAAGCAAAAGGACAGAAAAAGTTACATAGGTATATCATGTAAACACTAAACATAAGAAAGCTTGTAGGGCTAATATTGATATCAGGCAAAGTAGACTTCAGAACAACATTAAGTATTACTAGAGAAAACAGGATATTTCATTGGAGGTCAACTCATGAAAACATTATAATCATAAACTCAGAGCATTTAGCACTGTGGGCATTAGAAAGATGAATAAAATAGTTATTACTCAAACGATTTCTATCTTGCAAAAAAAAGGGGATGTTAACACTTTTAGAGTAGTATATTAGCAACCAAGAAAGAGGTCCCAAGATCCTGATATTTACCAGCTCCTGTTTTCCATCTCCCCCCACAAAAAGAAATTATTTTTAAAATGGAAATTTCCAAACACACATAAAAGTTGAGAGATGAGTGTAGTGAACCACTCACCAAGCCATTACTACAAGCATTCCTAGCATTTTTGCCTCTTATTTCATCTGCTGGCCCTTCCCCAACTATTTTTTGCTATAGCATTTTTAAGGAAATGTCAGATACCACCTGTAAATACTTTAGCATGCATCTCTCTAGCTGATAACATTTTTAAAAGCATAACCATAATACCATTACCTCACTTAATAATTGCTCAAAACTAGCTAATACTCAGTACAACTGCCTCACAGATTTCTTTTTTATAGTTTGTTCACATCATGATTCATATAAGGTCCATATATTTCACTGATTGTTAAAGCTCCAGAGTCTCTTTTATAATATTTTTTGTTGTTTACTTAAGGCCACTGATTTCTTACAAGAAACTGGGTCATTTATGCCACAAATGGCAAAAAAAAAAAAAAAAAATTTTGACTAAATGTCTCTTCTAGAAATAATTATGACCAATGTGAAAATAAAAAGCAATAATGTAGATGCTGAGGAGTGAATTATCTAATACACACTTTGTCCCAAAACACTCCAAAGGGATTGCATCTCATTTCCTAACAAATACACTGAACCTATTGGGGTTAATTTGAACCACATTAGAAGTCTATGAATCCCATTAGAATCATCTGGAGCAGAAACTTTTTTCAATTCAATTTCAAGTGAAATTCAGTCTACATTTGAAAAGTACTAACAAGATGTATAAATTCTGTCAATCTCAAACTACATACACAGTCCAGAAATGGAATTGCAATGGAGAAAGGACTTCAGAGGCCCCCTGGGTAACAGATGAACATTGCCAAGTCATAAGTAATTATCTAATTTTCTTCTAACCTCAAGGCATGCTGGGGCATATGGGAGTTGTCAGGGAATGCAGGTGTGCACACCCAGGGCCTCAGCATGTTACAACACAGCCAAGGAAATGGCAAAGCAATGCTGTTCAAATAAAACTTAATGTAGACAGGCCCAGAGTTTAGAGGAGGTGATTATACCAACTGTGGCTGAAGGCATCTGAGGTTAGTCAGTCAGTACTACAGGGAACCATTTCCCTCCAACTCTCACCCCCACCAAATTCAAACTTCATTCTTTCTTAAGCTTGGAAAGCCAGTATCTTGGGAAGAAAGGGTTCAAAAAGCCCCAGGCACAAGAGAGAAGAAATACAATCAACAATACAACAAAAAGAAAGAGAAAGCATGGGATGATTTCTTTTTCCCAGTAGTTTTCTGTTAAATTTCCCTCCAGCCTTTTTAGGAATTACAATACTTAACGCCCTCAATAGAATACATCAGCAGTTGGAGAAGTGAAGCAATACCAGCTCATGATCAGTGATCCATTTTCTTGTCTCTTGGCAGGGCTGCACTGAGCCACCAGAGTTGTCTCTTCAACAAGAGAGGTTTGATCATCTCAGTAACCTTCTTCTGGGACTCCTGTTAGACGTGTATACTTAATACCATCAGCTGAGTCGTAACATTCATCCAAGTCAACTGACCTCCCAGCCTGCCCACATTGCCTCCCTGCAGGAAGTGATTTTGCACACAGAAGCCCCTGGTGGGGTACAGTGGAGTGTGAAGTGTCTGTTCTGGGACCACAGTTCCATCCCTGGAGCAGCGATTGTAAAGCATCGTTCTCCTGTTCCAGTATCTCTCCAGAGACACTCAGGTCTCTGTCACAGGATCACCATCGTTAAAGGTATCTGTCGCTCTGTCTGGAAAGGTGTCTTTCCAGGGGAGGAAAGAGCCAGCTTTGGAGGCACCTGGTTGACTTCAACTAGAGGTAAGGATCTGGGCAACAGGGCTCACCAGACTGAAGGGATGAATTGAAAGTTCAGCAGGTGGCTCACGCCTGTAATCCCAGCACTTTGGGAGGCTGAGGCGGGTAGATCACGAGGTCAGGAGATAGAGACCATCCTGACCAAGACGGTGAAACCCCTCCTCTACTAAAAATACAAAAATTAGCTGGGTGTGATGGCAGGCACCTGTAATCCCAGCTACTCGGGAGGCTAAGGCAGGAGAATTGCTTGAACCCAGGGGGCGGAGGTTGCAGTGAGCCGAGATCGTGCCATTGCACTCCAGCCTGCGTGACAGAGTGAGATTCCATCTCAAAAAAAAAAAAAAAAAAAAAAAAATTCAGAATAGACCCTCCTGCCTTCCTCTATTTTTGTGCCCTGTCATGTTAGAACCTCTGTCTTCTCTTTAAGTCACCAGAACAAGGTGCCAGGGCTGCATTCTCTCAGAGGCTGCAGGGACTCTGATGAGGGCCTTTCACAGAAGCAGCTTGTGAGTACTTAGCGAGATGGCTACCTCTGCCTCAATGGCTCTATCACTCATTCTGTGAAGCGCAACTCTTCCTTTTGATAGATAACACCCCACAAACCCAGATACGGGTTAGAGTCCACAGGGAATGGAGCTCAGTCTGCCCCCTCTCTGCCACAGATTTTCTTTCTCACTCACTACCACATGCCACTGGCCTCTCCAGTCACCCCTCACCCTCCCTGCTTCCCCAGGCCCTTCCCCACAGGTCCAGCAGGTCCAACATATCCCAAAGCCGAGCGCATTGAAGACAATTCAATACCACTTGATTCTAAGCTGGTCACCTTTACTTCTTGAGACTATTTAAAAGGGGAGCTATGATGCTAGTTTAATGCAATGGTTGGGGTGGATGATCAAACAAATGGAAATGAGAGGTGTTTGAAAATGGTAAGATGCTGTATCAAAGCAAGCTAAGAAATCAAAGTGGGAGTGGGATAAGGTACTATTAATATAACAGAAGGCACAATCAGAGAAGAGTTAGAACTGGAAAAAATTTGCTGTTTTTGATCTGGCCGTTGAAATTTCTTTTTTTTATGAGTAGATGAAAGTAAACAACATCAGAAAAAAGTCTACAAACAGAAAAATGATAGTTGTATTTTAGAATAACATTGCAGTTCATGCATCTATATATGATAATGGGAGATGCTAGTTGGGGGTTTCCTCTGTTTTCCATAATTGCAGGGTTGAAGCAGAAGATCCTAATGTTCTCCAGCTCATGGTCTAGGCACAATTTCAGCCAAATTATTTTCATCAAATAGGTTTCTAATCTTTATAAAAAGCTGTGCAGGACAAGAAATTGTACAGTTTCTCTAGGAAATGATGTATTATTTTTACATTTCTTTTCTATTTTGTGATAATAGGTCACTGACTTGCACTGTGCCCTCAAAAACATGTGTCAAAAAAGCATTTAGCAGACATTTAATAGTGATGAATATAATCAGACATTATTTTGAGGGACAGTGTCACCTAATTTCTGTTGACTCATATTCTGAACAATGGAAAACATTCTTTTCCCATGCTTGGAATGAGAGTTCCACTTGATTTACAAATGTTTCTCCACGTTATTAGTAAGAGGTTTACGTGACTTAAGAATATGGGATGTCATTTTGAAACATGTGGGGCACAATAGTCTTCTTTGTGCAGCTAACAACTGTGCTAGCAAACAGTGGCTGCTTCCATTGGGTTAACAGCGGATACCACATTCTAGAGCACTGATTCTCAACTGCTGGCAATTCCATTGCCCTGGGGACAGGTGGCAGTGTTTGGAAATACCTTTGGTTGTGATGACTTGGGGAGCTATGCTACTAGGTCAGTGGGCAGAGACCAAGGATGCTACTAAACCTCCCACAATGCATAGGACAGTCTCCCATGACAAAGAATCGCCCATTCCCAAATGTCAACGGTGCTGAAGTCAAGAAGCTAGGGTACCTGGAGCATAGAGCACAGGAAGGGCTTGGGAGATGTCTGTCCCAGGCTCTGGTCCAAATCTCACTTTTCACAGTGATGGTCACAAATTTACTTGGCCGGCTGTGGTGGCTCACACCTGTAATCCCAGCACTTTGGGAGGCCGAGACGGGAGGATCACCTGAGGTCAGGACTTTGAGACCAGCCTGGCCAACATGGCAAAACCCCGTGTCTACTAAAAATACAAAAATTAGCTGGACATGGTGGCCTTTGTCTGTAATCCCAGCTACCTGGGAAGCTAAAGCAGGAGAATCACTTGAACCCAGGAGGCAGAGGTTGCAGCGAGCCGAGATCATGCCACTGCACTCCAGCCTGGGCCACAGAGTGAGACCCTGTCAAAGAAAAAAAAAAAAAAAAAAACTCTGACAAGTTTACTGTATTCACAAGACTTTAGGAATGGTGTCCACTCAAAATGCAGCAATAAACTTTTACTTTCTAATCAACTATTTACAATGTACAGCAGATGGGGTGGAATGGGACTCAACCTTCTTCTGGGGTTAATTCCTCCAAAACAGAGACTGGAGAGCTAAAAACTACATTTCCCAGACTTCCTTGTATTGACCCTTCTGAATGAATTTAGAGTCCATCCATCAGATGCTGAAGATCTGAAAGGTGCAAGTGGAGACCAGCTTTCTGCTGCACCAGCTATTGCTCCTCTGTTGTAGAAGCATTGGGTTTTTCTATAGCTGCTTTTGGCAGACGCCGTGGCTCACCTAAAGGGCTGAATCAGTGGTGTTCTGAGAGTCATTCCTGCAGGTCACCTAAAGTTTTTTTCCTCTTGCCCTTCTGACAAGTTTGTCTGGCCAAACTTCTCTAATATTTTCTGCTGAAAATACTTAGACTCATTACTGTTTTCTGTAACAGAACTGTGGTAGATATAGCCAGAGATTCTAAACTGTCCACATTTCAAGAATTACGTCCTGTGTGTTTCCTCCATGCAGGGGTTCTGAATCTGGGGTCTCTACTACCCAAAGGACCTGTAAGTAAAATTCAGAAGATTTGTGGATTTAGGTGGGAAAATACTACTGTATATCTATCTATCTTTCTATCTATATAAACTGTTTTAGGTTCACAGCAAAACTGAATGGAAAATACAGATTTCTCATGTACCTCCTATTCCCACATATGTGCAACCTCCCTTACTATGGATGTCCTGACACTATTGAGTCTTCCTATCCATAAACATAGGCCGTATCTCCATTCGTTTAGTTCTTTAAAATCTTTGGAACATCACACACCGGGGCCTATCATGGGGAGGGGGGAGGGATTGCATTGGGAGTTATACCTGATGTAGATGACGAGTTGATGGGTGCAGCACAGCAACATGGCACAAGTATACATATGTAACAAACCTGCACGTTATGCACATGTACCCTAGAACTTAAAGTATAATAATAAAAAAAAAAAATTTAAAAAATCTTTCTTCAGAGTTTTGTGGTTTTCCTCATGGAGATCTTGTAAATATTGTTAGATTATTCTTAAGTAATTCATTCTGGGGAGGTGCTAGTATAAATAATGTGTTTTTAATTTCAAATTCAAATTGTTCCTTGCTAGTAGTTTCTTGACCTATGATGGAGTTACAGTTTATGATGGTTTTATCAGAACATAAGTAAAAAATGCATTTAATATACCTAACATAGCATCATAGCTTAGCTGACCTTAAATGTGTTCAGAACACTTAAACTGGTCTACAACTGGACAAGATCATCTAACACAAAGCCTATTTTATTAAAAAGTGTAGACTATCTCACATAATTTATTGAACATTGGAGTACAGTTTCCATTGAATGTGTATTGTTTCAACATCATAAAGTTGAACCATCATAAGTTGGGGACCATCCACAAGAAAGCAATTGACTTTTGTCTGTTACCTGCATATGCATGTAATCTTGCTACAATTGCTTATTAGTGTCAGGAGTCTTTTGCTATTTGGGTGATAACAACCATGTTATCTACAAAGTTTTATATCCTCCTCCTCAATCTGTATTCCTTTGATTTCTTTTTCTTGTCTTGTATTAGCTACAATAGAACTTCCAATATGATGTTGAAAAGCAGTTCTGACAGAGACATCCTTGCCTTGTTCATGATCTTAGTGGGAAAGCTTCGGGCTTCTCACTATTAATTACAATGTTAGCTTTAGGTTTTTTTGTAGGTGTTCTTTATTAAGTTGAGACAGTTCCCCTCTACTCAGAGTTTGCTGAGAGTTTTCTCATTATGAACAGGTGTTAGATTTTGCTGAATGCTTTTTCTGCATCTGTTGATATGATCATGTGATTTTTCTTCTGTAGCTTATCATGATGGATTACACTAATTGATTTTTGAATGTTGAACTAGCTTTGCATTCCCAGTTTAAATATCGCTTGGCCATGATGCACCATTCTTTTTATGTACTGTGGATTTGATTTGCAAACAGAATCATGTTGATTTTTTTTCATCTAGGTTCATGAGATATGAGTCTATTGTTTTCTTGTAATGTCTTTGTCTGGTTTAGGTATTAGGGGAGTGCTGGCTTGTAGAATGAGTTAGGAGATATTCCCTCTACTTCTACCTTCTAGGAATTGTAGGGAACTGGTACAATTTCTTTCTTGCATGTTCAGTAGCATTTACCAGTGAATCCATCTGGGTCTGGGGCTTTGAGTCTGGAAGGTTTTAATTATTGTTTCAATGTCTTTAATAGATACAGGTCTATTCAGATTCTCTTTCTTTTTTACATGAGTTTTAACAAATTGTGCCTTTTAAAGAATTGGTCCATTTCGTTGAGGTTATGAGATTTGTGGGCATAGAGTTGTTCATAATATTCCTTTTCTTTTTTTTTTTTTTTTTTGAGACAGAATCTTGCTCTGTTGCTCAGAGCGACAGAGTGCAGTGGCATGATTTCGGTTCACTGCAATCTCTGCCTTCTGGGTTCAAGAGATTCTTGTGCCTCAACCACCAAAGCAGCTGGACTACAGACATGCATGACCATGCCAGGCTAATATTTTGTATTTTTAATAGAGACGG